TATATTTTAAGCAGTATAAATTGAAACAGCAAAGGCACTGAAGAACAATAGACAATAAAGGATTTCTTTAAATTGCTTTTGTAATTGACTGTTTGCTAAGCCTTGCCCCTCTCAGTTATTGCTCCTACACCATTCTCATATGGCACATATGTGCTAATAAAGGCACAATAATGGTAAATTTACCACTTGGAACTCTGATAACATGGTTCGTTTCAAAATGAGATTCTTGTCAAAGGGGTCAGAAATATGCACTTGATGACTACGGACATGTTATCATGCTAAAAGAAAGCTAAAGCTGATTGATTCAGGCAGGGATATAAAGAAACAGCATTGTTCTTCTAGTTAGTTCTTGCATTATAAGAAAAACAAAGTTCTATTTTGCTCTAACATAAACATATCTGGCCACATGACTTACTTATTTGCGATAGCCCTGATGGCAGCTAGGATCAGCTGCCAGAGAGAAGTTGTGAATACAACTTTTTTTTTGTGTAAAATAATATATATATATAAACTAATGAAACCGTGTTAGTTAATAATGAGCTCTTTGGCCTTAGAAAAATGAGTGTGTCAGACATGCTAATGATTGCACAGTTTGATCCCTTGCTTTCACCTTTTCTCTCGTCTTTTTACAAATCCATCCCTTGAAAAGGCTACATGACCCGTCAAACACTATAAATTGAGAGTATCGCTCCCATTGCAGCCCGATGCACCCTGCTTTAACATGCTGAGAAGTCCAGATATTGACAGGCCTGCCTCGCCTTCTTACGGTTGCTATGCTATGAGTGGACAGTCGCTGTTCACTGGAGGTGTTTCTGCAATTAGCAAGCGGTCGATTCAAGTGAGAAATTGTCTGTTATTTCAGTCACATTATTACATTTGGAGTTAATCTAACACCAATAGAGGAACTGCGGCTTTAACAGTTTACAGTGGGTTTATGGCAGGAGCTCAATCACTTCCTTACTGTCCTCTCGATGCAACCGGACAATAGTGGGGAGATCGAAATGATAGAGGAGAATATGAACATTTGTGTCATTGTGTTCTCTAATACAGACAAATATGGCAAGCTAAAAGGTCACCAGATGAGGGCAGAGAATAGCTGGAGGCTCTTAGGATAACACTGAATGAGTGCGATGCTAATTGAGCTGCTACCCTGATCTCCCTTACATGCCCCAGGGTCAGGTGATGCTTCACTGTCTCCAACACCAACTGTATGGAAGCTCTGCTGTATTTAATAAGGCCCCAGTAACGAGTACGTGTGAAGTCACTCTGACAGCTGCTGCGTAAGGATGGCATCAAGCTGCTGCTCTGGTCCACTTAGGAAAAATTGCCTCTTACATTTTTTACACCCCATTGTGTTAATAATGAGGGACAGATACAGTGGAGGAGAATAGTGTAATAATTTGTGTTGCTACAACCTAATGTTTTTTTTTTTTTAAAGATGTACTATACTGTGTACATGTGATCAAATTGTTACTCAGGGATCTGTTTTTGTGTTAGCACAGAGTCTCACACCGCCAAGCTGGCATATTCCTGGAGCGGGCAGAGGTTATTTCCCAGACTACTGGTTCGGTATATCGGTGACTTGAAAAAATCATAGATAAATTACAACGTCTTTGTTCACTAATAAGTCCCTCAGGATGGAGCAGCAGATAACAGTTATTGTATGGGTTATTGATAAATATAAAAATATTGATGATAAATATAATTGCCCACTATTACGCACAGAAAATGGAATCACCATAGGGTCTTCAACGTGTTCAACAATAATAAGCTTCCTCTGAGGAAAACTCACCACAGGTTTCTCTAACTGTCAGGGAGTTAGGACCGGGAGAGTCCTGTGTTTAAAGGGAATGAAAGGAGTGAACGTGATTGGCCACGATTGTCCCTGTCTGTACGCCAGGCGTGCCCCTGAAGCACTGGGCAGGGTGCACTTGTCTGGGGCAAAGATTCCCTAAATGGATGCCTAAAATAATCATCAGATTAAAAAAAGAGAGCAAAGGAGATGGTATTTTAACAGTTTAATTTATGTCAAGGTACAAATTACTTGCAGATTTAGTCCCATGAGTTGCTACGGCATCTACAGCTATCAGTTCAACAAGCATCCAGTCACCAGCTGCTCCGCTCCTGGGATGTGGATTTGTTGTTTGCATTGCTGATTTTCTACACTTACAAAAAGTGCAAGGCTTAAGAGAGAGAAAAGACAGCTATGTCTGTGTGTGGGTATGCAAAAATCCGACAGAATCTAGCAATCATAATGTAAGATTTTTAATGCACAAAAATCCCAGTGGAATTTGTCTTCTCCCTCTGCCTTACTTTTGCTGTGTCTGTCTGTTGTTGCTTTAAAATCATTGGTTGAGGGACTTTGTTCTAGCCAGACACGTGTTGGTCCATCATTTCTGTTATCTCAAATGCCACAGGTCATGGCCTGTATTTATCTCCTTAAAATCCTTCACTTAACCCTAACTTGCATGCTTAAATCAAGTTTCAGAAAAAGAAATGAACACAAAATCTGCAAAATATCATCGGTCATGGGGAGTGGAACTTGGGCATAAGCAACATGTAGAATTCCGAATGGGGATGCTTAAACCATTTGCATTTGAGTTGAAAATCAGATACGTTACACCACTGTTTCACTCTTTTTGCATTCATCAGGCAATGCACATATAAAACTGGCATTAATGTTTATAGCAGAAGCAGAATTTCTTCCCTGCTCCAGTCTGGTTTTCTTTTTACTGTCATTTCAGCCAATGTCCTATTATTTCATTCATATTTATAGATTCCTTCTAAATGTATTTGATTGCTGTGGATTTCACATGGGGTCACATTGCTACTGATGATATAAGGATTTTATACAAATAAAACAAACCTATTTAAAAATGTAAATTTTTAATGGCAGATGTCTGTGATTGGCCCTTCCTGCTCTGAACATCTGATTAATCATATCATCACTTGAGAGCTCTTACATTTTCCTCCCACACTTGGATATAAGTAGGGATGAGTTGCTTGATAAACGTCTTATCGCTCACACTCAGCGAAGAACTTTTCCACTCTGTTGGTTCTTTACTGTTCTTAAGTTTAATTCGTACAAATTTGATTAAGACCCATATTTATCAAACAAACGGCAATCAATAATCTAATAATTTATTATTTATTGAAAGTTTATTACCATATGTCATCAGATTTTGATTCAAATGTTGCTAAATCCTGACTTGGTGCAACAAAGTGCAACATTACCATTTTCCAGCTGAGATCCACCCACCTCAGACCAGCGAGGGCACATACACAACATAAGATACAGTGAATCTTTGAAATGGTGTAATAAATACTGTTCTAACTTTGGCAGAAAAGTTTTTATTAATGCAGAATCCCATCTCTCATAGTAAGTAAAAATGTTTTTAGGGCCATTAAAAACCTCTGGAGGTCAAAATGAATCTGATGGATACGTTTGTTATTCTCTGTAGGACTATCACTTTCGATACGTTATCAAGCTCTTTGATAATATGAATTTGTTTCTCTGTAATTATGTCCAGTATCAAAACCTGTTCAAATAAGAATCTCTTCAAATCAAACCGAATTTCCATAATTTGTTTACGTAATTGAACGGACAAAGGAAATTTGAATAGCGTGGCACTTTGTTGACCTTTTCTGTGATTTGCATTGGTAAGTGCTCGCTCACCATACTCGTCCACCTCCCCTCAGCTCACAGGTCCGTGTCACAGTGGCACTTCTGGGTATGCTCATTTCCCAGATCTTTTTGAATGCCTGCGTTGATTCCCTATGTTGGCAATGCCACTCGGAAGCAGAAACCAGGGATATAAGTGTACATTGTCATCAGGGAGGAGGAGGGAATCAGTAAGAGGATTTATAAAGCTTGAGGATTAACACTTGGAGCCACTAAATAGAAACAGAATCCAACTCGTGTGGTTATGAATAGCTATAGAAAGAAATGAACATGACACAGGGACTTGTAACAGGGATATTAATTTGTCTGACCCAGTGACTCAGAAGTGCCAGTACAGGTGCAACTATTCAGCTTGCATAATATGTAAATTATAACTTAAGATATTCAAAGTGCCTGAATCAGACCAGAGCTGAGAGTAAGCTGCAGCTGAATCAATACATCTGTATATCGCAAACCCCTCCCCCCTGATAAGACAGGGCTGTGTTGTTTTCATTATAACACCTAATGGTGTCATTTCATCTTTACGTTTCCTCAATATTGGCTCCACCTCTGCAGTCAGGTGTAGGGACATCAGCAGCAAAAGTTGAGATGTCGTGCTTCAGCCCCAGCTCTGAAGCAAGGCATTTTAATAGACAGTGGTCTGTGGGAAATGATTCATGTTGTTTACAAATCCCCCACACCCCCCCAGCATCAAATTTCGAACAGCTGTGATCATGATGCAAAACGTTTTGATTAAATCCCAGAATTTGTATCAAGATCTGTGTCAAATCAGTCCCTGAAGAAGAGATGCACAGCTCTTGTCCCAGCTGACACAAGGGACTAGTTAGTCACAGTGCCAACAACAGCGATCATCTGGTTGGAATTTACCATTTGCTTGTTTTTGATCACATTTTGCCTCATGTGCTTTCCTTTGAGAAAAAATAAAAATGCTCTTTAGGGTAAATACTTACTCTTTTAGAAACAACAGTATGTTGCATGACTTTCCCCAGACTTCCTGCAGATATTACTCACATAAGGATATAAAAAGACATGAACATAACAATTTAGAATTTTAAAGTACCAAAAATATCAATAGTGCTTTATCTTTACATTTGGAATGCTAAATGGTTTGTTTTGAGACTATAAGACTTACTTTAAATTATCAGTAAATTAATAAAGAGCTTTTTTTCAGCCAACATGTACATTAAAGCATCTGAGTCTGGGTCTGAGTATGTCTCTGTTAGTTCTCTCCCTGTGTGTGTTGGTCTGTGTCTTTGCTCTGTTGCCATGGCACCTCAGCACCTCACCTCTTCAATCTGTTTTTGTGTTCCTATTAAAGGCTCCGTCACCTGAACCCAAAGAAGCAGAGACAACAGCAGCAGCAGAACCTGAATCACAAGATGAAGTCTTTGGTAAGCGGTCAAACCAAATCTTGAATTTGAATTTACATGCACATTGACATAAACTCTAAACTCCCAGTGTTGGTCAGTGTTTTTTATACTTGTAGCTGTTTAAATAATGAACAAAAGAGAGCCGGTAGTGAGCATATTCAGGCAAATCCACCATTATTGAGCAGACTAAAAAGTGGGTGCCACTCTCAGAAACACCATCATTAAAATCTCTTCTACTGCCAAAGTGTGACTGATGTATCCTCAGTTTTCAGTATGCAGTTCTGTTAGAATTTCTCCTGTGAAATCTTGTGTTGTTTATAGAACTTATGTCCACTTGCTAATCAGCAAATGTAGGCAGATCTAAATATGAAATCATATGAATGTAAATTAGTGAGGGTCAAACTGTAAGATTATGATTGATTCTCCAAACTAATCAGCTGAAAAAAAAATAGTTTATCATTGAATTAAATATGGATTTTGTGCTAGGTTCCTGCTGAGGCCTCATAAAGTACTGAAATGTGTTCCCAAGAAATCATGTATTGGTTTATTTTAACAGGGACAGTGTACATTAATTAAACATTCCTGTAAATGCACCAGAGTTAGCCAGAAGGCTATTTTCCATCTGTTGTCCCTGGACAGATGTTCTAAGTCAACCTAAAAAAGTCAACATTGACGGTAGCCCCTTTAACTCCGCTATCTTGACTCAATATCTGGGTTTATTTTTTGGCAACAATAAAAGGCTTCTGCTTCACAACAGTGGCTCAGAAGCTGCTAATCCTGCGGTGTGACATTCGTTTGGAGTGAGCAGCCTGACTGGTGAAAAGTTAGCAGTTGCCAGTGATGAATGAAACTTAGTGGTTTGAGTAAGGCAACCATTCCTTATAATGAGAAAATCTCCGAAGTCAGCGTTCCATGCACCCCAAAGTTTCTTTTCTCACAGTGTTTGCTGTTAGAGAAGTTTCCCCTCAGTCAAATTCATTGTTACACGGTTGGCGTGTGAGGACGGGTTAAAAAGAGCTTTTGTAATACTTCAGCTCAGCAGATGAGGGCAGAGTTTGGTGCACAACAAAGAGGGCATCTGTCAGTTGGCACTAAGTTGACTGATTTCAGTGCTTGACACATTGAAATCCTGAGGCCAGATGAAAATTGCAATTGCTGGTGGAAATTTGCTGAATTCTTTTTTTATTTTTTTTAATGAGGCAACAGCCCTGATTTAATTCTAAACAAAGGCAAATCAGGATGGATTTTCTGTTGGGATACATACTGTAACTTAAGCACAGTGCATGCATAATAGATCAAGCCACAGAATAAAACAGCAGAAAAGCTTGATCAAGCTCAAATTACAAGTTTAAAAGACCCGACTCATGAAATCCACATCCCCCAAATCGCCCTTTGTTTTATAAACGTGAACGTAGTCGGACTGGCCATTGGGAGCACCGGGGTGAACTCTGTGGGCCGCTTGAACAGCCCGTTATACAAAAACAAGAAAGAGAGAGATGCATCGGCCCACTTTGATTATGCACCAGCCCACATCCTCCTCCTCAAGCTCCTCAATACCAGTCCAGCTGGTAGTCAGGGTTTTGCAGCTGAAGCCGTAAGACAGAAGAAGATAGGGATAAGATAAGCAAAAAGTGTCACTTTTTGTGAACTGACCAGTCACAGGCTGGATGGGTTGGGACAGTGCTGCAGTCAACTTTGAAATGTTCAACTATGCACAAATGGTTATGATTATAAGTTAGTACATAGCATTCACAAATTAAAGACTGACCACAATTCTAGAGCATTTATGATCTACTATTATATGAAATTCTAATGCTTATACTAACATGATATTATTAAATATTCATATTAAACTCTTTAGGTAATGTACTAATATATATTAGTATAATACTAATCCACTCACTTATACTAGTTACTCTTCCATGTTGGGGAATTCTGCAGTGGGCAGTAGATTTAGCCAGAGCCTGGATGCCAGTGCTATTGTGCCATAAGCTGCTCCTTCTAGTCGGCCTCCTCCCAAGAGCAACAAGTTCCCCTTGTTCTATTTTACATCTATTTTGCGGAAGTTATTGTTATAAATATTGTTCAGTAATCTTGTTGACATGAAGCGTGGTGTGGGTTGAGTGGGCCTCTCTGAGTCAAAAAGTGGAGGGCAGTCTTTCATTCCCAGTCCGTCGCTGACTGTGAATGAAACCATTAGTGTCTCTGAGGCTTCCCGTTGGCTCTTGTCAACTCTGATGATAGGAGCTGAGTGAAGATGCAGCCTCAGGCACCTCCTGGGGTGAAGGAAATTATTTCTTTCCCTCACATACAGTATGTGCTGTGGCCAAACAGCCCAGAGCCAAACATCACCGTCTTACAGTGTGTTGGCTTCTTGCAGCTGGCTGTTGGCACTTTTCGGTATGCCGGAAACGTAATCACGCAAAGTAATGAGGAGAGGTATAAGTTTGGGAGAGGGGAAGTTGGTGGATGGTTTTGCAGGAGAAGGAACCACATTTGTCCGGGAAGAGCACAGGATTTTAGGGAATGGAGGACAAGTGCAGCCTGTTTTCTCCCGTCTGTGTCAGTCTCAATTGTTTTTAGGGTGAGCTGAGGTGAAATGCAAGAGAGGGGGAGGATTTGGCCATCTGTACTGACTGAAGTAGCTACAGCACAAGAGATGATGGTTAACTTGTAACCGCTTTTGAGGCTTGGACAAGCATGAGCAGTAAATGGCTGATTTTGAAACATTTTTGGATGGACTGTATAAAGTATCTTTCAGTTGCCAATTTGAACATTGAAACATGCAAAACATTACAATGATTCCCTTCTTCAAGACGTTTCTTCTTCACTGGACCTTTCTTCTTCACTGGGCCATCACAGGCAGATAAAATGCCAGCTCATCTCTGTCCTTTTGCTACCACTATCACCACCACTACGGCTGCTTTTACCACTACCATTACTCAGGATTGCCAGCTTTCTACTGCCAGCTAGAGTGAGATTCCGTTTGTTTTGTTTCATTTTGTTTCATGTCTTTGAAAGGGACAAAAGTTCATCTCTGTGAGGCATGAACTCCCAGAATAACCCAAATGTAATGGAATATTCCAATAAACACAATTATACCCCAAATTATTAATATACACTGGGCTGGGTACCAAACTCCCATACTTTTATGGCACTGATCAGATTGCGTCAATACTACAAAGGGGCCAGGAAACCGTGACCGGAACATCCCTTTTATTTATATTTTTGTAGCCTGCAGCTCAAAAAGACCAACAGAGTAGTGAGGTTTATTTTCCAGATAAATATTCTAGCTGATTGCATCACAAATGTTCAGACAGGTAGTTAGTAGCTACCTCAGGAGCTGTGGAGTGAATGACCGTCACTGGCAGATAGTGAGCAGTAGAATGTTCTAGTTAATCTTTTGGTCCAAGCGTATTACCTTAAAGGCCTGCTTGTTCGGTTAAGCTAATGTTAGCTCCAGCAACCAAATGGAAGCGCTGTCTTTATATTTTAAGGTTAACAGTCAGATATCAAAACCTTTACATTGTCAGATGCGGCTTACCAGCTTATTGGTATTAATATAAGTGGACATGTATGTGGCTATCAATAAATATAACAGCCCTTTTTCATTTCATAGTTAAAAATAATTGAGTAGCTAATGTCATGTGTCACACTGAACTCACAGTACTAATAAATGTCAGCTAAATGGGTCAGTTTCTCCATGGACCAAAAACTCTCCAAAACAAGCTTAATTGTTTAATTGTTTATTATGTTTAATACGTAATTGAAGTAAAAAAGAACCGTGGGAGGAGGTCACTTGCAGCAAGCCACTGCATCAATTTCATTTTTCAGATTATTATGAAGAGACAAAAATGAGTTTGCTTGTTCAGTACCACAGTAAATAAACACCAATGTAGGCCTGGAGTTTTGTTCAGCTCTAACTGCTACACCTACACTGTTTTTACTATTGCATCTACCACTGTAACTACTACTACTACTATTAGTACTACTACTACTACAATACCACCAAGGGCCCCCCATAAAGAAGCCCATAAGGTCATACCTTACTTACCTCTTCCCCTTTTTGTAAATAATGTAATTCTACAGTTTTATACTGATTGAAAACTCACTATAGTATTCTATATGGCAAGATTTCTGCTCTGGTGGCATTATGTTGTTCCTACAGTGGTGTCTGTCTGGTAACCCTTGAGGCGACCTGACCTTTTTTTCTCCTTTTGATATTCTCCTTTGCCTGATGAAGATCTAGTACTAAAACCTAACAAAAAAATGTTATTGCAAATAGTATTGCAACTTAGACAGTATGTGAATCTTTGCAACTGTTTGACCTTTTGGTTTTTCAAAAATTTGATTATTTTTTTTTAAATCAACATTTTATGATGAATTTAATTTGACATAAATGAGCCGGTTATATAAGTTGCAAAATACCTTTGAGGTAGGTCTTTGACCTGTTTTGTATTACCGGCAGGATTTTTATATTTTTTTTATTGGTACAATCTAGGGCTAAACTGCTGCAAAATGAGAAAAAATTAATTGAGTGCATTAGATGCATTATGGCCAATCTTGTGTGTTCTTCTAATTTCTTTATAAACTGCAGGTGTGCACCAAGATAGACTCCTACAACTGGACACAGCTTGTATTTAGTTTGTTGTTTGGAGTTAGCTGATTAATTCATTATTTTAGAGATAAACCACGATGCCGGCAGGCAGATCACTGTGTGGATTATTGCATTGCATGGCCTGCTGTGTGACATTTTGCAGAATTAAACTATTAGTGTAAGGCCAGTTATACCAGGCTGGGTTTGGTAATCCTGATGTGTGTGTTTTATAAATATACTGCCTATTCTGTTCAGCTTTGGCTGCTGCAGCTGTGACTGGCAAACATATCGCTTCCCTATAATGTAGAGAGACTCTGGACAGAACACACAGTCACTGTCATATAATACCTAATAATAATATGTGAGAAAAAACAAACAAACAGTTAAGTAGCTACGAAAGAGCGTATGTTACAATTATACAATA